AGATCTTCCTCTCTGTATATTTGACTTTCTAATTTTAAATAAATAAATCTTTAAGGAAAAAAAAAAGAAAAAGAAAACCGTGCTTAAATGTGTTTATTCCTTGGCCAGGGTTGACCCTGCCATCTGAAATTTCTCCCCTGCAAGCCATCTTCAGCCTTTTGTGTCCATCTGCTTTTGTTCCGTACTTGGCCTCTTTTAAAATTTTTCTTTGGGAATTAAAATCACCCCTCTCTCCTTAACAAAACCCTGTACTGAGTTCTCTGAATATTTTTCTTTTCTTTTTTTTTTTTTAAGATTTTATTTATTTTTATTGGAAAGTCAGATATATGGAGAGAACAAGATATGCTCCCCAGGTGGCCGCAACAGCCGGAGCTGCACCAGTCTGAAGCCAGGAACTGGCACCAACTTTTTAATGTGGAACTGAGGAGCACAGATGATGGCTGAAGGCCTTGAATCCCTCCCACCCATGTGAGACCCCCTGCTGGAGCGCCTGCCCGCTGTCCCTGTGCCCGCTGTCCCTGTGCCCCTGTGCCCACTGTCCCTGTGCCCCTGTCCCGCTGTCCCTGTGCCCCTGTGCCCGCTGTCCCTGTGCCCCTGTCCCTGTGCCCCTGTGCCCCTGTCCCGCTGTCCCTGTGCCCCTGTGCCCGCTGTCCCTGTGCCCCTGTCCCGCTGTCCCTGTGCCCCTGTGCCCGCTGTCCCTGTGCCCCTGTCCCGCTGTCCCTGTGCCCCTGTCCTGCTGTCCCTGTGCCCCTGTCCCGCTGTCCCTGTGCCCGCTGTTATGGACATCTGGGGAGTGACCCAGCGCACAGAAGATAGTTTCTCTCGCTCTCTCTGTCTCTTGCTCTGCTTTCCAAATAAATAGAAAACAAACACTTTTTTAAAATCTTTTTTTTTTAATTTAACATTTTTAAAAACAAAAAGATAAGTTTATGTTAGTGTGAAATCCATACACATTTATTCGGCGATAGACATTTTTGCTTATTTATTTATTTATTTTAAAATTTGAGACAGACCTAGAAAGTTCTCCTCTCTGGTTTAATACCCACATGCCTGCAGTGGGTGGGGCTAGGCTAGGCTGTAGCCAGGAGCCACAAACTGTGTCTCGCCCATGAGTGGCAGGGACCCAAATAGTTGAGTCATCCTTGCTGTATCCCAGGTTGTGTGTTAACCGGAAACCGGAACCCACAAACGTCCACGTGTTACTGCTAACTGCTAAACCAGACACTCCCTCCTCCTTCTCATTATTATTATTATTATTATTATTTATTTTCATTACAAAGGCAGATTTACAGAGAGGAGAGGCTGAGATCTTCCATCTACCGGGTCACTCCCCAAATGGCCAGAAAGGCTGGAGCTGAGCTGATCCAAAGCCAGAAGCCAGGTACTCCTTCCAGGTCTCCTGCTCCCACATGGCTGCAAGTTCCTAAGGACTTGGGATGCCTGTGCTTGGAAGTGGAAGATTAGCCAGTTGAGCCAACGCGCTGGCCCCCCAGATACTCCCTTCTTCCTCTTAACTTCTAGAAAACTCCTGATAGGCACAGATTCATAAAGAAATAAATATATATATTATATATATATACACCTGGATTGACTTTTTTTTTAAGATTTATTTTATTTTTTGAAAAGGCAGATATATACAGAGAGGAAGATTTTCAGCCTGTTGATTCACGCTCCAAACAGCTGCAAGGGCCGGAGCTGAGCCAATCCAAAACCAAGAGCCAGGAACCTCCTCCATGTCTCCCACACGGGTGCAGGGTCTCAAAGCTTTGGGCCGTCCTTGACTGCTTTCCCAGGCCACAAGCAGGGAGCTGGATGGGAAGCAGGGCCCATATGGGATCCTGGTGTGTGCAAGGCGAGAACTTTAGCCACTAGGCTACCACGTGCCAGGCCCAACTCACATTTATTTATTTTTCAATGTTTGTTACATAAGTTAAGGTGAACTTAACTTTTTAAAATTCCATTTTCCACAAACACTTCACAGCATGGGGAGTGGAGGTAGTGCAGAAGGACATTTGGCCAGCATCCACCGCCTGTGTTCTGTCCCTCAGCAAGTTCCCAGGGGAGGGACAGAGAAGCCAATGGAAAGGACAAAGAAGGCTTCATCAAGGGAAAAAAAATAAATTCCATGCCAAGGCTCAGAGAGTGAATCACCCCCACTGTAACGCAGAAGCCAGGAATAAACCCGCTTAAAAACAGCATCCTGGGTACTGCCTGCCTTCCCTCCTTGGGCGTGCACACAGGTTCTGACCTCAGGCCCAAGTCTGCTCCTCCCTGCCCGCACCATCCCCCACCACCACAGGAAGTCCAGTGGGCGAAGCAGTCCTTTTTTAGGGCTCCTCGATCCACTCAGAGCTTTCCCCTGCACAACCAGCTCCTGGAGCAGGGACCACCACGGTAAGGAGTGTGTGGTGACTGCTGGCCCGTGGTGCTGCGGGAAGGAGCTGAGAGAGGGTGCTGGGGGGCAGGGCTGCAGGGTATGTGGGCAGGACTCCAGCAGAGTTGGGAAGGGGGAAGTTTACAGAAGGTGGTGAGTCTGGGCCCTGTCTGTCTCAAGGCCTGGTTTTCCTGGAGGCAGCTTGGGCAGGGACTGGGACTCATCCTGGGAATGCTGCCTGGAATGTGAGGGTGTGCTCCCTGTGGCTGCTTGGAGCAGAGCTAAGGTGAGCTTGAGGAATTAGGCAAGCTCATCTCCCTGCCCCTGTGGTGATGGGGGCCCTGGACTCCTTTGGGGCATGTGAAAGGAGCAGATGAGCTTCAGCTCACAGGGGGACAGGGCTGGGACCAGCCTGAGACAGCTGCCACAGGGCACAGCAGGGTCCCGGGCTCGTTCAGCTGGGGCTGGCCTGTGGGGCCAGGGCCAACCAGGACATCACCCTCTCTGTTCCCACCCAAAAAAACAGCCCGTGCTTGGGACTGGGATGTAGGTCTGGTGACCCAAAAGGAATGGGAGTGGGCTCATTTCTAGCTGTTGGGGCTGCTTGGGAAGTGAACCAGTGGATGGAAGATCTTTGTCTCTCCTTCTCTGTAATTCTGCCTTTCCAGTAAAAATAAATAAATCTTTAAATAAGTAAATCTCTTTTAAAAGAATCAGCATGGTGACCTAGCGGCTAAAGTCCTCGCTTTGAAGGTGCTGGGATCCTATATAGGCACCAGTTTTAATCCCAGCAGCCCCGCTTCCCATCCAGCTCCCTGCTTGTGGCCTGGGAAAGCAGTGGAGGATGGCCTAAAGTCTTGGGTTCCTACACTCATGTGGGACCTGGAGGAGGCTTTGGATTGGCGCAGCACTGGCCATTGTAGTCACTTGGGGAATGAATCATCAGATGGAAAATCTTCCTCTCTGTCTCCTCCTCTCTGTATATCTGACTGTCCAATATAAATTTAAAAAGAAAAAAAAAGAGTTTCCGAGAGAAAGAGAGGTCTTCCATCTGTTGGTTCATTCCACAGATACCTACAATGAGCAGAATTGAACCAGGAGCCAGGAGCTTCCCACACGGGTCTCCCAGGTGGGTGCAGAGCTTAAGCGCTAGAGCCATCTTCCACTGCTCTCTCAGGCACATCAACAGGGAGCTAGATCAGAAGTGGAGCAGTCACTTCTTAGGGATACTGGCTTTGCCTGCTACATCACAACAGCGCACGTCCCATTTCTATTGTTAGTGGTATCTCTATCAAGCAAAGAAATAGGGAGTGTTATTGGCTGGTTCGCTTCCCTGAATGCCCACAACAGCCAGGTATGGCTTTCCAGGGCTGGTCACGCCATCCAGGCCTCCCATGTGGGTGGTCCTTGAGCCATCTCCACAGCCTCCCGAGGTCTACATTAGCAGGACATTCTGCTGTGGTGTCCCGACCACCAGGCCCAATGCCTACCCCACTGTGTGGTTTCACCCACCCTTTCTTTGGTTCCAGACAACTCTGGGCGGGATCCACTCGTGGCCAGTACGCAGATCTACCTATGGGTGGTCTGTGAGTCGGATCCTAGCTGCTCTGTCCCTTCGTCCTTGCACAGGCCTCAGTGCCCACATGTTTACCAGTAGGTAGATCTAGAGGTTAGAGATTTATATGCCACATTTTCCAGTGATTCGGGTACCCCTGGGGATTAGATTGTGCAATTTAAGATCCCAGCACCCACCCAGCAATTTGTCATTTAAGCAGCATAGACCTTTAATCTTCAATACTTATTTTTCACATTCATTAGTTGGAAAATAATCCTAAGGGCGAGCATGGTGGCTCACAGGCTAATTCTTCACTAATGGCAGCATCCTATATGGGCACCTCTGATTCAGCTTCCTGCTGGTGGCCTGGGAAAGCGGCCAGAATGTTCCAAATCTTTGGGACCCTGCACTCACATGGGAGACCCAGAAGAAGCTCCTGGCTCCTGGTTTCAAATTGGTCCAGATCAAATTGGCCATTACTGCCATTTAGGGAGTGAATCAGTAAATGAAAGATCTTTCTGCCTTTCCTTCTTTCTTTCTGTAAATCTGCCTTTCCAATAAAAGTAAGTAATAGGACAGGGGCCATTGTTGTGGCATAATGGATAAGCTGCCAGGCCTGTATCCCCTATCAGGAACCCCTATTGGAGTGCCGGAAAGTGGCTAATTTTGGCGGGTGGTTCTGGTCCAGGGTCGAAGGTGATGGCTGTCAGAGGCCCAGGCTAGCCAGGGACATTACAGTGGAGAGAGGCACCCAGGCCAGTGCGTCCCCTTGAGCCTCTCTCTGCTTACACAATCTTCCCAGGTCTCTCCTCGGGGGGGTGAATTCATGTTCCACCTTGGCCCCCCATGTCACCTTGTCAGATGGCTGCTCTCCTCCCAAAAGAGCCTTTGGCTTGCTGGCAGGAAGAAACAAACAAGCTGTACCTCAGTTTGCCAGTCCAGGACATTTGGAGGTGACCCATGCTTAACTCCTTCCAGACAGGATGCTTCCCTGGCCCGGCCCCCTCTTTGCCTTGCCCACCCGAGGCATGAGTAGCACTGAGGCCCCGCCCCTTTGCCCCTCCCCCACAGATGCTGTGGATTGCAATCTGGCTGGGCCTGGGGCTGCTGGGATTGGTGCTGCTCCTGCGCCAATGGTGCTGGGGCTGGGTGCTCATCTTTTACCATGAGCTGGTCCTACAGCCACTCAAGAACCTCATCATGGGCAACAGCAAGGAGCAACGTATCCTGAACCATGTGCAGCAGCACGCTCAGCGCGGGGACCCGCAGAGTGTGCTGGAAACCATCGACACCTACTGCTCAAAGAAGGAGTGGGCCATGAACGTGGGTGACAAGAAAGGTGAGGGTCACAGCTGGCAGGGGTGCTGGGCAGGGACATGGGGCAGGCCATCCTCAGGCCAGGGCCACACAGCCATCAGGGAGCCTCTTGTCATCTTGTTTCTCAGGTTAGGACCATGCCTAGGCCAGAGGAGCACTGTGGGACAAGGCTGTGCAGCAACTGGCCTTGGCCTCCCATGCCAGGAGAGGTGACCATGCATGCTTGGCAAGGAGAGCAGCTGTACAGGAAAGGGGACAGGTCAGCCAGGGATCTTGGCGGACAGCAGCCTCTGGCAGCTCCTTGCCACCGGGTTGCAGTGGGGCTTGGTGCCAGCCCTTGTACTGGCCGGCAAGGGGGAGGTATGGCTCCTCCTGATCTCTGCCCACTTGGCATCACAGGACCTGCTTGGAGACCAGTCTGGCAGGATCTCCTACTGGCCTTGAACTCAAGCTTGGGCACAGCCATTTTAGCTTTCCTAGAAGGGGAGGTGGGGACAGCCCCTGACAGCCTGTCTCCTGGGCAAATGGGCACCTGATGCAGCCTCCAGTGCAAAAGGAAACAGGGATAATGAGTTGGGATGTGTGAAATGGGCTCAGGGGACTGGGAGTAGGCCAGGTATTAGATACCGCAGCAGGGAGTGAAAGGGGGAGCTTGGCCAGGCACCTCCTACCCCCACCTGCCCTCAAGCCACCCTCTGGTGCCCCTGCCCCTTGCAGGAGAGATCATGGACGCAGTGATACAGGAGCACCGCCCCTCCCTGCTGCTGGAGCTGGGGGCCTACTGTGGCTACTCGGCTGTGCGCATGGCCCGCCTGCTGCCCCCGGGCGGGCGGCTGTTCACCATGGAGATCAACCCTGACTTTGCTGCCATCACCCAGCAGATGCTGGACTTTGCCGGCCTGCAGGACAAGGTGCAGCTTCCCTGACTCCCGTGGCCAATGTGGGCATCGACTCATGGTTTTCTCCCAAGAGTGGGAGAGTGGGGAGGCTGACCTGGAGTGGGGGTGCCCAGGGAGGATGGGCTGCAGCCGTGCCCAGCTGGTGCCCAGGGAGGTACCAACAGCTGCTGTTACAGGTCACCGTGCTGCTGGGGGCGTCCCAGGACCTCATCCCCCAACTGAAGCAGCAGTATGACGTGGACACTCTGGACATGGTGTTCCTGGACCACTGGAAGGAGCGCTACCTACCGGACACACTGCTGCTGGAGGTGAGCTCAGTCAGAGTGACCTTGTTGGCTGCTGCCACAGGGACCAGGGAGACCCAAGCATGTCAGCTGGCCACGGCCCTGGAGCTCCTACAGGGAACTGTGGCAGAAGTGCTGCCTGAAGTCAGGGCAGGTAGAGATGAGAGGAAGGGTCCTGGGTGGAGAGGTGCCAGGTAGGAGGTGAGTACCACAGACCAGACCTGCTGCTGGGTGAGGGGCCGGGGAGTGGGAGAGGACATTTAGATGGGCAGTTGCAAAGCCACCCCTACTCTGCCAGGACCTAGCTGCTGGCTGCCGGGAGCAAGAGAGTGATCTTCCATTTCTTGCTGTATCCCTGAATGGCTGCATCGGCCAAGGCTGGGCCAGACCGAAGCCAGGAGCTCCAGCTGCTTTCCTGGGACATTCCATTTCTTTGGCTTTGCATAGTGCCACTTCCTGCTTTCATTCAGGAGCGTGCTTGATGGCCTGACTTTCCCAGGAATGTGTATTTTGCACAACTGCTCCTGGGTCCCTGCATTTTCTTTCATTGGCAAGCAGGAGACACCAGAAACTCCCTCACCTTAGAGCCTGGCTAGCAGGGACCAATGCCAGCATCACCACCGGGGACCCCTCCTGCCCAAGATCGGAGATGCCCAGGGTTGCTTGTTTGATTCTGCTTTGGAGTTGAGATTGCTTTTGTAAAAACAGCAACAGCAAATCTGTTTCAGGGCCAGTGCAGTGGCATAGTAAGCTATTCCTCTATCTGTGCCACAGGCATCCCATCTAGGCCCCAGCTCACGTCCCAGCTGTAAGGGCTGGGGCTGGGCTGGCAGATCCAGGGCTCCCACGTGGGTGGCAGGTACCCAGCAGGTACCCAGAAGCTAAGATACCTTAGCTAGTGGCTGGGGGTCAGGAGCCACATGGGTGCGCATTGAGCCCCGATACTTCCACATGGGATGCAGAAGTCTACTGCTATGCCAAATGCCCACCCAAGACAGCTTTATTTTCAACGCAGCTTCTTTCTGATGGCTGTGTCAGGAAAACTTCCACACTCCCAAAGTCCCTTCCACCATTCCCTGGGCTGCCCTGCTCTCCATCCCACCCCGCCACCCAACCCACACACCTGAGGCTGACCCTGGCTCTCATCTAGCTAGTGCTTACTGAGCCCCTGCTGTGTGCAGGGCTGGGCAAGGAACCAGGAGCCTGTGGGGCAGAAAGCTCTTGTCCTCAGGCCCAAAGTCTGGTGGGATGGGGGGAGGGTGGGAGTAGTACTTCTGGTCTGGGGCAGGTTAGCAGGGCATCCCTGACTGCCCCCCACCCCCACCCCGGGGACCATCTCTCTCTCTGTCCCCCACAGAAGTGTGGCCTGTTGCGGAAGGGGACGGTGCTGCTGGCTGACAACGTCATCTGTCCAGGGGCCCCAGACTTCCTGGCACACGTGCGTGGAAGCAGCAGCTTCGAATGCACCCACTACAGCTCATTCCTGGAATACATGTCAGTGGTGGATGGGCTGGAGAAGGCCATCTATGTGGGCCCAGGTGGCCCAGCATGATCTCAACCATGCACCCTGCCCTGGATCCCTCCAACAAGCTGGCCCCTGCCAACCCTGCTTCTGTTACTGCTGCCTGGGGTATCTGCCTTCAAGTGCCAGGCATACTCAGTGCCTGAAAGTCCTGGGCCCTGGCCACACCTGCCTCCCTATGCTGTGATCCCGGGCAGCTATGCAGTGAACAAAGGGATGCCAGCAGGATAATGCCTGGGCCCAGCCAGTGGTGCTCCCATCCGATCTCTGGGCTCCTGAGACGCAGGCCTGGCAGGGCCAGGAGCTGCTTCTGCAAACGGCCTGGCCTTGCCCTCAAGCTGTCCTCTAGGTTCCTGCCAGCAGGTGGCAGCACAGTGCCTCAGCCACAACTCCACTTTCCAGCCCTGCCTGTACTTCTGACAGGATGAATTCTAACCCCTTGACGTCCGGGCAGCTGTAACCACCTTGGACACAACTGCATACCAGGGAAATTAAAGACCTAGCATTTCAATAGAGGGTGGCAGCTCAGTCCGTTCTTCTCCGTCTCCGAGCCCTCCCTTGCTACAAACCTGCTCCTGCCTGGCGGCCTGTGATGGGGAATGGCTGCCACAGGTGGACCCTTGGCTGGCTTCCCCCCGTGGGGTGGCCCAGCTGATCCTGGGGACCTTCAGAGCCCCGCTCAGCCCCGTCCCTCCTGTGGCCTGGCTGGCTGCACCTGCTAGCCCCATGGGGTCAGCTGCCCACCCAGTGATCCAGCCTCCATGCCCTTCCTCCTGGCATGTGCCTGGGGGAGTGGACACAGGGCCACACCCAGCCCCACTAGGCACGGGAGCAGCTGGCTCCACCTGCTTTGCTTCCGGAAGAGGAAGCTGACCCAGACTCCGCCTTCTCCCCAGACATCCAGGGGATGGCAGCTGACCAAGGGCCAGCTGACCAAGGGCCTGCCCCACCCAGGGTCCTGAACCTGCTGGACTCCTGCTGACTTCTTTGTGCCTACACTGCGGGAGGGCCCATAGCAAGGAGGAGCCACAGCTGACAGGTGTCCCGTCCCCAAGGGGCACACTCTCCCATCGAGCTCACTGGCCAGCCAGAGATGACCCGAGTTCCAGAGTCCTGGGGGGAGCTGGGAGCCCTGCCTTTGTTTGCCTGGACCCCAAGTGTCCCTTATCCTTATCCTTGGAACTGGGAGGCCCGACAAAAGGATTTGCTGGTTTTTGTTTTTTAATTAGTCTACCGCATTTTTTAAAAATGTAAAATACACAAAATTTATCCTGTGGCATTGTAACCATCCTCAATTATACCATTGAGGGCCATTCAACCTTGTGGAGCAACAACATCCCCACCCCGGGCCTACCCTGGGCATTGCCTGTCCCTCAACCTGGAAACTCGGGTGAGGAGGGGCAGGCTGTGGGGCCGCCATGCTGGCCACCAGGGGACAGGAGCCTTGGCCACTGGGGCGTGGGACTGGTGTAGAGTAGGGATCAGGGGCCCCAGGCTGTCGGGTGGGTGCTTGGACCATGTCGGGGATCTGCCTGGTGCAGCTCTGTCCCCTGTCCAGCTCTGTTCTGTACCCTGTGTCCCTGGGCACTTTGGGAAGCTAAGGGGCTGATCGTGGCTGGTGGATCTGATCCGAGTTGCAAGGTGCTGGCCTGGCTCTGCTTACAAGCCTGTCCCCCGCCATCCTCGGGGACTCAGCCTTGGGAACCACCCTGCCGGGCTCAGCCCACCCTGGAACACCACAGCTGGGCAGACCCTCGCCCCTCGCGGGACCTCACAGTGGGGATGGAAGAGAGAAACAGCCCCCAGACCTGTGCCGTTCAGGCAACTGATCGGAGCGTGGTTTGGCCATGGAGGGGCTGGGGTGGTGACGACTCTGCGGAGGACGGTGCTTAAGCTCCGGAAACGGAATTTAGAGATACTGGTTTGCGTGGTTCCTGCAAATCCACACGCTCATTCTGATAAACCAACCCACGCCAAAACAAACTTCTTCCCATCTGTCCAAAGTCCCCGCAGGAGGCGTGGAGGCGGGCGGCGGGGCGGGAAGGACGAGGGCGGAAGCGAGCGCAGGCAGGAAGGTCATTCGGAATCCCTCCGTCCAGAGGTCCAGGCGGGGCTCCGGCCTTGGCACCGGGCGCGCTTCCCTCGGCGGGTCCTTCCTCAGCTCCGCAGTCGGGCCCCGTGCAGGTGAGAGCAAGCTTCCATGCCTTTCCCCGGGGGGAAGGCCCAGGGAGCAGAGCCAGGACAGGCTTCCGGTCTTGATGGGCACAGGACACCCAGTCCCGTACACCGCGGGGCGGCCATTGCTGCCGGACAGGCGGGGAGGAGCAAGGAGCCCCGCCCCAGGCCCCGCCCAGCCCGCTTAGCCACGCCCCCGAGCCCTGCCATCCACGCTCTTGTCCACTCTTCCTCACACGCCCATCAAGCTTCGCCACGCCCCCTCTGGCCCCGCCCCACCCAAGCTCTGCCACTCCACCCTGTCTGAGCCACACCGTCAGGCCCCGCCCCAACTCTGCCACGCCCACACTTCGCCCCGCCCAACAGTGCCAGACCCGCCCCTGTGGGCGGTGCCAGCTGCTGCTGACCAGCAGCACCCATTCTTGCTGTCTGTCCGTCTGTCTGCAGCCGCTTCCAACAGCATGGGTGACAGCAAGGAGATCCGCATCCTGCGCCACGTGCAGCAGCACGCCCAGCGCGGGGACCCGCAGAGCGTGCTGGAAGCCATCGACGCCTTCTGCTCAAAGGAGCGAACCATGATTGTGGGCAAAAAGAAAGGTGAGAGTCGCGGCATTCAGAGGGCACGGGTGTGGTCACTGGGGAGGGCTGGGGTCCTCAGGCTAGGGCTGGGGGAACCTGCTGTCACCTTGTCTCTGGGATTATGGCTGCACCCAGGACAGGGCGAGGGAATGGTCTGGAGCTGCGTGGGCTCAACCGCAGGTCCAAAGCCCGCCCTCTGGACAAAGGTTGTGCAGCCAGCAGATTGGCCTCCTGTGCCCCAGCCTGCACCCAGACCACTGTCTACACGGACAAGGCAGACAGTGCATGTCTGCCCAGGGGAAACACGGGGCACTGGGCTGTCTGCCAACATCAGCCTCCAGGGCTTCTCAGCACCCTGGGTTCAGAAGCTCCTGCACTGGGTGGGTGATGGGTGGGGTTCCTTCTGATCTCTGGGCATGAGTCATGGGACCAGCCTGGAAGGTTCTCCCCGGCTCTCCTGTTGGCCTTGAACTCTAACCTGGATACAGGCATCTTAGCTGCAGCCCCTGGGTGGGGGGTATGAGAACGGCCCCTGCTGGTCACCCTCCACCCCCGTGAGGGGGGCACCATATGTACCTTCCAGTGCCAGGGAGACAGCATGGTAGGGCATAGGGACAAGGTGCACAGTGGGACCAGGGGTCTGCGAGCTGGGAGCTGGGGGGAGGGTAGGCAGCACCCCATTGGAGGAACAGAGAGAGGGGAGCTGGGCCAGGCACCTCCCACCCCCACCTGCCCTCAAGCCACCCTCTGGTGCCCCTGCCCCTTGCAGGAGAGATCATGGATGCAGTGATACAGGAGTACCGCCCCTCCCTGCTGCTGGAGCTGGGGGCCTACTGTGGCTACTCGGCTGTGCGCATGGCCCGCCTGCTGCCCCCGGGCGGGCGGCTGTTCACCATGGAGATCAACCCTGACTTTGCCGCCATCACCCAGCAGATGCTGGACTTTGCCGGCCTGCAGGACAAGGTGCAGCTTCCCTGACTCCCGTGGCCAATGTGGGCATCGACTCATGGTTTTCTCCCAAGAGTGGGAGAGTGGGGAGGCTGACCTGGAGTGGGGGTGCCCAGGGAGGATGGGCTGCAGCCGTGCCCAGCTGGTGCCCAGGGAGGTACCAACAGCTGCTGTTACAGGTCACCGTGCTGCTGGGGGCGTCCCAGGACCTCATCCCCCAACTGAAGCAGCAGTATGACGTGGACACTCTGGACATGGTGTTCCTGGACCACTGGAAGGAGCGCTACCTGCCAGACACACTGCTGCTGGAGGTGAGCCCAGCCATGACTGGAACACCACCCAGGTGTCCCACGTGGCTGCAGGTGCCCTAGCTCCTGGACCATCCTCCATTGCTTTCCCAGGAGCATTTGCAGGGAGCCTGATCAGAAGTGGAGCAGTCAGTGCCAAGTGGGATGGCAGCATCCCTGGCAGTGGCTTCCCATGCTGTGTTCCAACACCAGTCCCTAGTTCTTAATTTCCTGTTTTACTATTTAGAAAGCAGGATACAAAAAGAGGGAGACAGAAAAAAAAAATCTTCCGTCCTCTGGCTCCCTCCCCAAATGACCCCCAACAGCCTAGGATGGACCTGGCTGAAGCCAAGAACCATGAACTCCACCTGGGGTTCCCATGTGGGCATCCCTGACCCTACCCTGCCCCAAGGGCCATCTCTCTCTGTCCCCCACAGAAGTGTGGCCTGTTGCGGAAGGGGACGGTGCTGCTGGCTGACAACGTCATCTGTCCAGGGGCCCCAGACTTCCTGGCGCACGTGCGTGGAAGCAACAGCTTCGAATGCACCCACTACAGTGCCATGTTGGAACACATCCAGGTGGTGGATGGGCTGGAGAAGGCCATCTATGTGGGCCCAGGCGGCCCAGCCTGACCTCGACTATGCACCCTGCCCTGGATCCCTCCAACAAGCTGGCCCCTGCCAACCCTGCTTCTGTTACTGCTGCCTGGGGTATCTGCCTTCAAGTGCCAGGCACAGCCTGAAAGTCCTAAGCCCTGGCCACACCTGCCTCCCCATGCTATCTACGGCTTTGGGCACCTACCAACCATGCCTTGTCCCCAAGTCCTCCAGGTTCTTGCCAGCAGGCGGCAGCAGAGTGCCTCTGCCATAGCTCGACTTTCCAGCCCTGCCTCTGCACCTCTGACACAATGAGCTCTAACCTCTTTACTCAGTCCAGGCAGGAGGAATCACCTTGGACACAAACTGCATATTGTGGAAATTAAAGAACTAATGTTTTAATAAAGATCTAATATTTGGCAGCTCAGTCCTGTTCTTCTCCACCTCCCTTGCTGTAATTCCACACGTCTGGCTGCCTGTTTGGGTGCTGGACACTCCAGCTCGGCACTCCAGGTGGCCCCTTGGCTGGCTACTCCTGGTCAGCCCACCTGAACCTGGATGTTGCTAGTGGTCTGACCAGGGGAACCTGAAGACCCACTAGGCATAACCGCCTGCCCAGGAAGCCCAAGCGAGGCAGGCAGTAAGCCAGCCTCCATGCCCAGCCCCTTAGCAGGTGCTAGGGTAAAGTGGAGAGGTTCCTTCTTATCCAGAGGCCCATCTGGTGGGTAATCAAAATTCTCTGTTCTCTCAAACCCACCTTGTCCACCAGGTCTTCCAGACCCCATTACCCACCTGTCACACATGTGGTCAGCCACCTCTGAGGTGCCCCAAAGTCTTAACAGGGACCTGGTTTTCAGACTAGACCCAGAGAGCATCCCTGAACAAGCTGGGCCTACCTGTGGCTACACCCAGTCTGGGCTTGAGGCCACAGTCACCCTCCCAGTGTGGATCAGTGTGGGGCACAGCAGGTACAGCCCTACGTGTGGGTGTGGCCATCCCATCCACCACCCAGCCTTCAGAGCCCAGACGGGAGCCGGCAGCCCACAAGAGACAGAAGGCGGAAGTTGCTCTGTTGGTCTTTTTTTAAAACTTTTTGCATTTTCTTACAAAAATTTAGATGTGTACCAATAGTCTTATTTTGGTTTCATTTAAATGCTCATCTTCAGTGTTATAATGTTTCTTCTGTTTCCAAAGTCATAAACAGCAGGCACCGAACAGCAGTAGTCCCTGTCGACGCCCCAAAGTCAGCCCCGGAAGGCACTCCTTGAGGTTCCGGGGAGGCGGACACCTGGGCGGCACGAGGGCTCCCCAATTCTACATTGGCCTACTCCATAGGCCGGGCAGGGAACAAAACAGCCAGATCCGCCCCCGTGGTCTGGCTTCCCTGCAGGGTTGGGACCCCCACCCAGGGCAGCCCCTCTGGAGTTCAGCTCTTCTCCCTGAGCCCTGGTCCCTGCCTGGCCCCACCCCCATGCCCGTCCTGCTGCCCCTCCCGCCCGGGGCACTGTGCACGCAAGCACAGGCACACACACACTCACACACACACACACACACTCACGTGTGCACACACATTGGGCAACTCTGCTGCTGGTCCCCAACAAGCCTCCTGTGCCCCCTTCCTGCGCCCCACCTGGCCCACCTTCCTGAGGCGGCCTGCTCTCTTGCGCCCTTTGTTGCAGCTCCTTGGAACACAGCACCAGGTCAGGGAGTTGGGTGGGCAGGGGGTGCAGGGAAGGAGGGACGCGGCGCAGCGGGAGGGGGTGTCGCCCTGACGCCAGGAGGCTCCGAGCTCCATGGCGGTGTTGCTCAGGTCTGCCCTGCTGCTGACGATCCAGTCCCTAGGAGCCCATGGCTGGGCCCAGGCCCTATGGAGGAAGAGGAAGGAGGGCACTGCAGCCACACTCGCAGGGCTGGCAGAGGGAGAGGGATGGGGCGGGACAGCGTGCAGGCAAGCGTGGGGTTCCAGGGACCGATGTAGACACCGGATGGATGCAGCTCGGTCCAGGGGTGGCATGGGTTGGCCCTCAGGGGCCTCAGGCCCGGAGCTGGAAGGTGTACAGAGGGCCCTCCCTGCTTGATCCACGCCCTTAGCCCCCAGGTATGGCCTTCCCCAAGACAAGTTTGTGTGTGGGTGAGTGAGGGGTGGCGCTGCTGGGGGCACACTGGGAGAACAGAGCATGCAGCCAGCAGCAATTATTATGAGAAGCCCCCAGCCAGAGGAAGGGGCAAGTGGGACGATCCGCCAGGGCAGAGAATAACGTACCAGGCATGCAAGCTAGACCCAGGAGTCAACAGGCTGAGGCTTAGTGTCCCCCACGGCGTCCACCAGCCTGACTGCGGGCCTGCTGGGCCCAGGGGGAGGAGCCTTCCTGCTGGGGTCGGGCTGCAGCGCAGGCACGCAGGCATGGCAGGTGGGTGGGCAGGCAGGCAGGAGCGCAGCAGCGTTAAGAGGCAGAACACAGCAGTAGGTTAGTGGGGGGACTGGGAGAGGGGCCTGAGGACGGGTCCTGAGGGTGAGCCGAGCTGGCCGGAGCTGGAGGGTCTACTGGCCTGTGCGTGAGGCCAGGAGAACTGGCGGGGGCCTCGCCTGGCTCGCACGTGCAGAGAAAGGTGTAGGCGAGCTGACTAGGCTCCTTCATTCCTGGACCCTGCTCTCCCTCCCGGCAAGGGTGGACAGCCCAGCTGTGCTCCCTGGCCCCCTATGGCCCAGGGCTCAGGACTTCCGGACTGCTGTTGAGGAGGGGAGGGTGCACCCACCCCCTCCCTTGGCAGCCAATCACTACTCACTTTCAATGGCTCCTTTTCGGAAGCCTCTCCCATGGGGTCACTACCGCGGACCTTGCGTTCTCTACGGTCCACCGTGGCGTAGCGGTCTGGAGGCAACAGAGGAGAGGACTAAGATGGGGCACTGTAGGAGCACGCCAGCTCCTCCTATCGACACACTCCCACCGGCCCCTAAATGGGGTAGGGCTGTGGCTGGGCACTGATCGTCCAGCCAGCAGGCCTTCCCAGCATCAGCCTAGGGCTTCCCATCTGTCTACCCTCCTTTCCACGACCCCTCTGGACTGCCCACCCTTCTTCCCACAAGCCCCACAGCACCTGCACTCACCCAGTGGGCCAAGTGTGTCCAGAGGAATCACTTCCCGGCTACCTGCCTTCTCGCTGTCTGTAAGAGTGATAGCAGGCGTGAGCTGTGGGCTGCCAAGCCGGGCTGGACATCCTTTGCTGCCCACTTCCTGGCACCCCTGCCTGGCCTCTGCCTGCCAGCAATGCCCCACCCCTGCAGCGGCACCCAGGCAGGCGGCACGTGACCAAGAATCCCCAGGGAGCAGTGATCCAGGCCCCCAGCCCATGCAGGGTCTCTCTTCTCCACTACCTCACCACCTGTCAGCCTCACGCACCCAGGCTCTTGTCCACCAGTGGCAGCGTGCTGTCATCGAAGCCCCCCGGGCTCTGTGCTCCCTTAGGCACCTTGCTAGCTGCTGCAGCAGACTGAGAAAGCACAAGGCAGAGACAACGCAGGGGGTGAGCTCGAGGCACCCTCTCCTTTGGCTGGGACATGAGCTGGCAGAGGGCAGGGTAGTCCGCACCTGGAAGCGTGCCTTGGTCCAGCCGTCCCTCTGCAGGGCCCCACGCAGCTCCTTGTAGCTCCACACGGTCTGCAGCACGTGGGACGCCGCCTTCGCCTCGCGCACCGACTGGCTGCGGCCGGCCCGGGGTGGGGTCAGTGGCCACTAGCCACGCCTCTCTCATCAGGCCCCGCCCCACCTGCCAGCTAGCCCCGCCCACCACGCGCACCTGCCAGCGCAGAGGGCCACCAGTGCGGGCACGCCGCGAGCCTGCAGGAGCGATCGGGCGTTGTCCAGGCTGTCGGACACGATCTCGTGGATGGTGTTGAGCACGGCCACCACTGTGTCTTCCTCCAGGCGGGCTCCAGGGCGCGGGGGAGCCTGCGCATTGCGCACGTTTCGCACCAGCTCTGCCATGGCGTAGCTGCCTAGGCGGGCCGGGAGGCAAAGAGAGCTGTTAGGACACACCTCGGCCCTGCCCCTACAGGAAAAAAACAGCGTTCCTGTGGCGCAGAGGTGGGTGAGGGACGGCATCAGGAGGGCCCTAGGACACCACGCTGCCAGGAGAGCTCCAGAACCATCCCTCTTCCACCCCACCACCCCCGCCCCATGGCCTGCCTGGCTCCTCTCTCACCAATGAGGTCCTTGTTGCGCCGGTCCAGCGAGAGGTTCCGCAGTGCGATGGCCACGGCCCGCACCACCTTGTCCGTCTCAGACTGCAGCAGCTCCACCAGCACTGGGAGTCCACGCTCCTTGCGCACCGTGGCACGGATGTAGGTGGCCCACTGCGGTGGTTGGGGGATGGGATGCTTAGCGCAGATTTGCTCCCCCGGACCCTGGCTGTCCCCACCAGCTGGGCTGTACTGTAGTCCCCACACCCGCAGTTCAAGGGCCACTCTTCCCTCCTCCTATCGCCCAGAGGTGGGGTCCCGAGCCTGCGCAGTGCACAGGGCAGGCCTCGCATCTCACCATCCAATTGCCGGCGCTGAGGTTCTGCAGGGCTCCTGCGGCTGCCTCCAGGGTATTGAAATTCCGGCTCTCCGTGAGGAGGGAGAGATAGAGCCGCACCACCTCTGGCTGGTACAGCAGCTCAAAGCCTGGGCATGCACAAAGCACCCACCATCTGCGCTCACTCCAGGGCCTCCTCCCTCACCCATCAACCCACGCCTGTTGGGCATTCCAGTGGTCAGGGAAAGTCAGGGATGCATGTGGAACCAGGACTGTTTATTATCAATGGAATCACTTGTTCTGGCCACCTGTGGGGACAAAGTGCTCCCATTTCACAGAGGGGCAAAATGAGGCTCCAGTCGGGAGGCCAGGATTTGGGTAAAGTTATTCCTTCTTTTGACTTTCCTTGCTGAAGAACTGGGCAACAAGCTTGCCAACTCAGGAGGCGGGGTCTCACCAGCCACAACTGCTAACAACAGGACCCACTATCCTTCCATCAATAAAGAACTGAGAGTGCAATGCAAGTAAGGACTGCCTCCACCACTACCTAACCAGAACTGAGCAACCAGGGCCAAGCCCCTAGCAGTAGGGCCCGCCTCCACCGGTTGATAATGGGAGCTGAGCAACCAGGGCCACACCTCTAGCAACAGGGCCCGCCTTCCTGGAACAATCATTCCAGGTTCCCCCACAGCTGGCACTCCACATGGTGCACACGCAGAGCTTCCAAGGTGGTCCTCCATGCCTGCCTGTCCTGTCTCAGGAAGCTGTCTTCCTCTCTACCGTAGTGAAGCACCCCTCCCACCTAGACTCCCTGTGCCCCTGATGGCTGGGGTCGCTTGGCCACCTCCACCCACTGGGAAGCATCTCAAGCAGGTAGGATCTGAATAGACAGCACAGAGCCAGAGGAATTCAACAGGTGGGGGATGCACCCACACCACACCCCACCCTGGGACCCCCAGTCCATCTCCGTTCCTGGGTCTGACCGCACCCCTTGGTTCTCAGCCCAGAAGGCTGCCCTTCATTCCCCCCCCCCCCCCCCCGCTGTCTGTTGCCCTCTAGGGCTTATCTCCCCAGCAATCCCCAATCAACTGACCCATGGCATTGATCCTGACTCTGCACAGGTCCCCAAGGACCTCTGGGGAGCTCCACACCTGTGATCGCCTACAGAGCTGGGGCCCACTGCAGTGGCACTGGCTTTGCTACTGGTCACAGGCTCACCTTTGGCGGCTTCCGTCCGCTTGGGCAGGTCCAGCGTGTCAAAGTTCTGGTCTGTCTCACCGTCCTTCTTCCCTAGAAGAGAAGGATGGCCAGAGGTGAGGTGGACCCCTGGCTGGGGGTGGGCAGAAGCATGCCAGGATGAGGGTCTCCTGCCCAGAGACCCCAGAGAGCACCCCACATTTGAGGACAGGCACTGCACGGGCAGGTGGACCAGAAGAGAAGGCGGTGATATCCTTGAGGAGACCTAGGGCCTGTGGCGCCCGCATCCCATGCCGAGAGGCATGTCATATGACTCCTCAGGGTTCCTGGGCAGCTGTATGTGGGCAGGAGCCCAGGCTGGACAGCAACGGGTATAGACAGAAAAACTGCTAGGTATACAACTTAATGAGCAAGGGGAATGTTCCCTCCTGGCAGGCACCAAGCCCTCCACCTCCAGGCACACAAACCACAGCTTCTAACTCCCCCAGAAGGGAGCAGAGCTGAACTCAGATAAACAGGGGGCCTCCTGTGGGAGCCATCAGACATCTCTGGGGCCATGCACATGCCCCCTCTCGGTGCTGCCCCTTGGGCTGGCCTCTCACCCAGTTGCTGGGTGGGGGAATGCATTCCTGCCCCTGTGTGTGTGTGCATCCTCCAAGCAGTTGGCATGGAGACAGCGGCCAGGGTGATGGGCCTGGGGGTTGGGGACGGGGACTGAGCGGCTTTCCTGGGTACTCACTGCCCTGCGGTTGTCAAGGCAGCGATAGTGTGAGCCCTCTAGCCTGGCTGAGGACAGGGGCCATGCAGACACACAGCTGTCACTCACCTTGATGGAACCAGTCCTCTGGGTGGCCACAGGAAGCACAGGAGAGAGGAAATCAGCCTCAATGGGGGGACCCTCCCTCCCAGTGTCCCCTATGTCTCCCCTGCACACCCTGGGGTCAGGGTGGTGGGGAGCAAGACTGAACACCTCAGGGAAAGCTAGGGCTCAGAGGTGCAAACAGGCTCCGCAGCAGTAGCTGCTGCCTGGGGGGTGGCGGACAGAAGGCAGGGCAGGAAGACAGGACATGTCCAGGGGTACTCTGCCAGGTGACAGGCCTGTGGAAACTTCCCCAGAGATGAGCACAGGTAGGGTCCATCATGGGGTCTCTCCCTCCTGCCCTCCCCCTCTGCACTTTCTTGCCCCTTGCTCCATCCACCCCTGCCCCCGACACCATGGCCTACACTGCATAGGGGCAGGGCTGGAACTCACACCCTGGCTTCCCCCTGTAGGCTGTTTGCCCCCCTTCCTGGCTCCTGTGTGAAGAGTCCTCCAGTCTCTTGAGTTGCCTGCTGCCTGGGCACCCTGGAGGGCCTGCAGTCTGGGAAAGGGGAGGGATGGGGGTGTAACCAGGCAGGACCCTATCTCACCCACTCACCTTTGGCCTTCTTGCCACCGAAGCAGCTGGCATCATCCCGCCTCCGTCGCTGGGAGCCCACGGTGGTGCTGCCTGGTGGCCCTGGCTCAGCCTCCTGGTACCTGTCAGCTCCAGGCACCTCCTTGTGCACATGGTACGACAAGTTCCGCATGATGCACACGCAGTTCTCTACTGACTGTGCGGGTGCAAGAGAGGGGAGGTGAGCGTGAGGCGGGGACCTCAGGTCTCGGGGATGCTCACCCTCCTTGCCAGTGTGCCCCAGCCTGCCTGGGAGGCCTGGGAATGGGGAGCAGATCCAGATGAGTGAGAATTGGCAGGGAAGGGCTGTGGCCATTGCTTGGGGGGGGGGCCATGTTCAGAACACTACAGACCCACACAGCCATTCCTTTCTACACTGTCCCGGACAGACCCAGTCCCAGCTCCTGCAGCGGCTGGTTCCTAGACCTTCAGGAGGCTGCGAGCCCATCCCCACTCTGTCCCACCCACCTTGTTGTCCGTGTCCTTCCTTCCCACAGCCGACTGAAGGGCATGAAGGAGTGCATCCACCAGCCCCTCACACTCCCGGAGCCTCCGCCGGGCCTCGGCGCCATCTGAGCTCACATTCCTGGGGGGCCAATGGAAGGGAAGACGCTGGTGAGCCCCCAGCCTCCACCAAGGGGCCTTCTCCAGCCTCGGCCCCCTCCAGCCCTGGCTTGGAGGGCTTGTGTTCCTCCCCAAAATGGACTTTGCCACAGCCTAGTACCTTCCCCAGGGAGATGGCAGCTTCTGGGATAATTTGGAAGGGACAGAGGTGGCCCAAAGAATTCCTGACCACACTGAGTAGCCAGAAAGGACAGCAGGGACTGGGGGTGGTGGGCGGGTCTGGGCCAGCCCTTCCCACACCTCAAACAGCCAGATGTGTTCTTGAAGACGGTTGTCCACTCGGCGTCCCGGGGCTTGGAGTCCTCGTTGGGCTCACGCTCCCAGCCTGAATGGGGCACGATGACCTCGTGCGTGAGGGTCTGCAGGCCGTGGTCGATGATGACCATCTTCAAGGGCTCGTATGATGACAGGTTCCAAAGGGTACCTGCGGGTGCCACCGATGGCTGGCTGTGCACTGAGCCAATCCCCGCCCTTCCTGGGAGCCCCCTGCCCACTCAGGACCTGCTACCTTCCTTGTGCCCAGGTTGGCATCAGGAAGACTGTGAGAGGCATTGGAGGCTCTCCTGACTCAGGCCAGAGAGACAAGGGGCACTGAGCAGCAGCTTCCAGCTTGGGGGTGAGGAACGGTAGAAGTGCTGGGTGCAGTGGGGCAAGGAGGTGGGTAAGGCAGATGCCATTGCCTCCCTGCTGTCTTCTGACCCCAAGGCCTTGTAGGGATGGTCATGTGATGCCACTGGGGCAGGGTAAAGAGGAGGCCTGCAGTACCCTGCTGTGACTGGAGGACCTGTCTTATCCTGCCACCTGACCAAGCTGTCCCACCAGCCCACACTCCTGGCCACCAAGGTGTTCACCACGGCCTCCCCTCTCCTAGGCTAAGCCCCTGCTCTCTCCACTCTCTTCCTGGGGGATAGGGGTGGGGGTCACACAGGTGTGGCCAGGTGCCACTCACCAGTGACAAGCTCCCGAACCTCGTTGTCCCGGGCGGCCCGCAGCAGGCGCACCAGGGCTGGTACGCCACCACAGTCCCGGATGGCAGCCTTGTTGTCAGCGTCCCGGCCATAGGAGAGGTTGCGCAGTGCCCCGCAGGCCCGGCGCCGCACCTCAGCCCGCGGGTGGTCCAGCAATGCCACGAGCAGCGGCAGCCCCCGCAGCTGCCGTACGCGTCGCTTGACGCCTTCGTTCTCGAAGCACAGGTGCTGCAGGTAGGCAGCCGCGTTGGCCTTCACGGGGTCCACCGGGTGCCGCAGCATGGCCAGCACCTCGGGCAGCTCCGGGTCCCGCCAGCGTGGCTCCTTGCGGGCGCTGTCCACTGAGGGCGAGCGTCGCGCCACCCGGTCCAGGCTGCCGAGGCTGCCCCGCTCAGGCTGGGCCAGGGGTGCAGTCGCTGCGGGGAACGGGGCCCGCTCCTCTAACAGCAGCTCACCGCCGGTGCCATCCTCTGCCATGTCCTCGTAGGTCCTGTGCAGGTGGGCAGGTCCCCATGAACCACCTGATATCTACTCCTGGGGACCAGGTGCTCTCCGATGGAGCAGGGCTGGGCCAGGGACACCCGTACCCTGGCTTCCTAGTACAAAAGCCAATCTGGGCAAGAACCGATCAGGACAGAGTTGGAGTTAAGTCCATCTGTCACTCACTCCCTCCAACAGTGCCTCCCGGATCCCTTCCCCTGCCTGCAACACCCCCATCTCCGGCTGGCACCAGGATGCAGTGGGGCTGGGGGGGAGGAGGGAAGTAGATGACCCTCCCTAGATAAGGCTCTCCCAAGAAGAACACCCATTGGGGGTACTGAGGCTTTCAGGGGGCCCCTGTGGGTTGCAGCCACTTTCCAGGAAGCTAAGACAGTTAGGAGGGCTTGGAGGAGGGGGATCAAGTGACTGGCATTCGGGCCCACTCTGCAGGAGGAGATGAGGGGAAGGCCCAGGTCCTTGGGTTCCAGGGGGAGGAACCCCAGAGCCTCTAGGACTCAGGCCCTGATGGTCATTGGCTAGAAAGCCGTCAGGTGGCTGCTCACTCTAATATCCACCCTCCTGTGTGCCTGCACTTACAAGAGCCAAAGTCAGGTCATATCCAAGCATGCCTGACCAACTCAACACCTGCGGTTTCACTGGGGAAGTAGGATGCAGACTTCCTGGAGGAGGTGGCAGTGATTGCTGGTGGTCAGGGTGGATGGGATAGGGTCAGGGTGCTCACCTGGCACGCAGCCCGCGCCCGCACTCAGGCCTCCTCCGAGGGGCTGTGCCGTAGTCGGGGTCCAGCTCGGGACCGCCCTCATCATCATTGGCCAGGCTGCGCGAGTCATCCTCCAGGCCGTAGGGCTCTGCCTGGAAGCGTTCGGGCAGGGAGCGGCCTCCAGGCGGTTGTGGGGGCCCAGACTCAGGGCCCGAGGGGAAGGCCTCACGGCGGCCGGGCAGGGTGAAGCAGCCGTCCACAGGGCCAGGGCCCAGGGGTCCGGCACGTGGCGGCCGCATGCCCAGGCCTCGGGATAGGCTGCCATAATTGGGGCCATCGCGGGGTTCAAGGACATCAGGAAAGCCGCCACTGCCACTGCCAAGGTAGGCTCGGGAGAGTGTGGCAGCCGGGCCACCGCCACCTCCACGCAGCAGGAAATGCCGGTCCAGGGGGCCATCTGCAAAAGGGCCAAGTGGGGGGCCGCCATCCAGCAGGGGCAGTCCGTCTGGGCCCACAGGCACTTGTCGTACTGTCCGTGTGGTCACTGTCTTCACTGTCTTGGTGACCTGGTGGACAAGTGGGGCAGTTGATGGATACCTTGAAAGCCCAGGGCAGCTCGGTTTCCCAACCAAATACCACATGTGCCCCACTTCTCCGTTCTATAGGTGAGTCGGCTCTGGCCTCCCAACCACTCACCCTCAGCTGGGCCAGCTCTCTACCTTAGTTTCCGTGCGCCGGGTTGTACCATCTTCTGAGGTCACGATGGACACATGGGAGGTGGGTGTGCCAGGGTCCTCCTCCACTGTCACTGTCTCCTCCAGCACCTCGGGTGCCTCTGGCATGGTGGCCAGGGAGGCCTGGCTGCCCGGGCTCTGCTCCTGAGACAAGATGGAGGGGTGGGGAGAGTGAAGGTGGGTGGAGTGCAGTGTAGGTCCTCTACCCTCCCCACCCCTACCCCGGCAGCCTCTGTCTTGGTTGGCTCACACTGGTCAGGAAGTTGGGGTGCCTGCCCAAGTCCACCAGCCCAAGGTCCATCTCTGTCAGGGTCAATGAGCACAGCAGAATGCTCCTGACTTCTGACAGGATGCTCCTGACCTCTGATACCAGCAGCTGGTCCTGCTGGTGGTGGAGCGGGCCAGTTCCCCACCAGGAGTCCAGGGTAAGCCCCCAGAAAGAGCAGTCTGGCAGCTCTCCCTGAGCGAGCCCCAAGGCCTGGCTGTCACAGGCTCCTTCTAGAGGTGCTTGGGGGAACATTATCTGTACCCTTGGGCTGGGGGGGGAGACCCTCCTGGTAGCCAGAGCTGCCTCCTGCCCTCCCCCGAGACCCCTGAATGCGGAAGCCACGGGGGAGGCTGCTTCAGCTCCCCACGCTGACTCCTGTGGCCCCTCCCGGGCTCCTGTCCCCGAAGGCCAGCCAGACGCCCTCGCAGGACAGAAATACCCAACTCCCAGAATGCCCTGTGCATCCACAAGCACCAAAATACTTTCCTCGCTGATTCTGTCCCAAACACTCTGGGACTTTAGGTGGGAACAATCTGCTCCTACTTGAACCTGGAGCTAAGACTAAGACCCCTGGGGGTCCTATCAGAGGCCAATGAGGGCCGACAGAGCCTGGGGCTACTCTCGTCATCCTGCCCTGGTACAGTACAGCGGTCAGTGGTGCTCCAGGCCAGCCAGCTCTGGTCTGGAGTTTCTACCCGGGGCCCACAGGCCACCTGCCTGGAACAGGCTCTGAGAACCGGGCTAGCCCCTGCCCAGGCTGAGTGGCAGCCAGAGTCAGCCTCTGAGCCCCCAGCTACCCAAGGCCACCACTGCACCAGTATTCCCGGAATCAGCAGTCGGCAGGGGCTGAAACCCAAGCCGCCATGGTGGGCGGGCCGTGGGTTGGGAGGAGAACATTCCCGGGAGCCAGGGCTGGGTCAGCAGGAGGACAGGCCCTACTGCACGGCCTGGGGCCCCTGAGCCTTGCAGGATGCGTCCCCTGCCTCACTCTGGACATCTGAGCTGTTGCCCTAGGCAGAGGACATACCCAGAGTTGCCCTGGGTCTGAGGGACAGGAAGCCTGCCTGGGTTCGGGATCCTATCCTGGGGGAATATGTGATGCCCCCTTCTGGCCTCCCTAATCATGCCTGTCCAGCAGGGGTCTGTGGAGGAGCCTGCACCAACAGGTGCCCTCTGTAGGGTTTGGTGACCCAGGAGGGCAGATGCCCCCAGTGATTATTGGTGACCTCTGGGATGGGGAAACCGAAGCCCACACTTGGCCAGATCTTCATGATTGATGGGGGAGGCGGGATTTCAAGCACTTACCCAATAGCAAGGAGGTCTTGGGGACCTCACCTTGCCCCACCACAGGCTGGGGACCTGACTAGGAAGTAGGGGTGGGGAATGTCCTCTTCCCTGGCGAAGGAAAGAAGCCACGGCCCAGTGTGGGAGGCAGGACGGCAGCCATCACTGCCAGGCCTGGGTTGTATATGGCGACGGGGGCTCGGGGCCCTGCATTCCCTCCTGCAGACCCTCGTGGGGCCAGGGAGCATCAGGGTGAGAGGCCAGGCACGGAGGGGTACAGTATTTGTTGGGGACTGGGAGGGGAGCAGCAAGGCTGAGGGGTGTTGCCTAGGACACCATACCAGTGGGACAGTGCCCTGAGTAGATTTGCATACATTTGCATACATTACACTTTCAGGGGAAGACCCCTACTCCCCAGTAGGACAATGGGTGGATGAGAGGAGGAGGTGGGAGAGAGGACATCATGAGACCTCCATGCTGCTGTGACCCTGGCTGGGGATGGGACAGGATCCAAAGAGCCAGTATCTCCCAGCAGAATCATCCTGCAGCATCACCCACCAACACCAGGGCCCAGCACCTGGCAGCGGGATCCCAAGGCCCTGAGTCCCCTCTGGCAAATGACCTCAGGGAGCTAAAAATGGGCTATGACTTCACCCAGCAAATGTGTGAGTCAGCTGGTGCTCATGGGAAAGCCTGGGCCCCTCTTCCACATGCCTGGTCGTGTGCACATATATACCTGGTCCCTCAGATGCAACCCTTGTGTAACATGACCCAGCCTGGCGTGTAGTCCTGAGCACCCCTCACAGCACCCTGCAGGTGTTCACATGCCCCTCACAGCACCCTAGGCGTTCACACGCTCCTCATAGCACCCTAGGCGTTCACACACCCCTCACAGCACCTTGCAGGTGTTCACACACCCCTCACAGCACCCTAGGTGTTTATGCACCCCTCACAGCACCCTAGGGGTTCACATGCCCTCACAGCACCTTGCAGGTGTTCACACACCCCTCACAGCACCCTAGGCGTTCACATACCCCTCACAGCACCCTAGGCGTTCACACACCCCTCACAGCACCCTAGGCGTTCACACACCCCTCACAGCACCCTAGGGGTTCACACACCCCTCATAGCACCCTAGGTGTTTATGCACCCCTCACAGCACCCTATGCGTTCACACACCCCTCACAGCACCCTAGGGGTTCACACGCCCCTCACAGCACCCTAGGTGTTTATGCACCCCTCACAGCACCCTGCAGGTGCTCACACACCTGTGCACTGTCACCACTGTGTCCTAATCCTAATATACTGCATTCAAGGACAGGGACTGCCAAATGCCCCATCAATCCTTCCAGGCACCAACCATGGGGATCTCAAAACAAGTGGCAGAGGAAGGAAGAGCCCGAGGAAGGGAGAGGCAGAGCCCATAGCGGCTATTCCAGAGAGTGCTGAGAGGGTGCTGGGATCCCTGCTTGGAATGGGGACTCGGGGCTGTTCCCTGCTGTCCCTGGCCCTGGACGCCCTTCCCTCCCTCCCACAGCCTCCTTCTTGCCTCTCCTGTAAGGACCACACTCAGGCCCCCATCACCACCCCCAGAGTGGAGGTCTCCTGTCAGGGTGCGCCAGGCCCACAGCCCCCACCCTGGTGGAGCAGAGCAGTGACAGCAACAGCCACAGATCCCAGCCTTATTTCTCCTGCAGCTGCTCTCAAGAGTGGCCGAGGAAGGCTGAAGACACATGGAGGGGCTGGGACAACACCTGTCACACACCGGGGGGGGGGTGTTCCACATCCACTCAGGAGATGGGTAGAACTGAGGGTGTAACAGGGTCATAGGCCACACTGGACGGCTCTGCTCTCACCTTTGTGGGCAGAGGCGATGAATGTGACAGCAAGCAGGGGGGAAAAAAGTGAAGACACAGACCACCACGCCCCAGCAGGGAGTGGCCGGGATCACAGAAGCACCCATGTGCCCACCCCACCTGCACCTGGCATTCCATGCCTGGAAGGACAGAACACAGAGCCCACAGAGATGAGCAAAGGGGAGACTGCACACCTGGAGCCCACGGTTTCAGGATCAATTCCCTTCCCCACCCAAAATTCTCAGGAGGGATACCGTAGATGCACGAATGCATAGCAGGAAGGGAAGGGTGACTGCCATGCACCCCTCCATGAGTGGGACCCTCCCACGAAAACCCAGTCCCAGGCAGGACAGCAAGCCCCTGGCCACCATACAGATATCCTGTCCCTTGGTACCCACCATCTCTGCCCAGGTAGCAGGGGCAGGGACCCTACCCACTCCCCGGCATCAGTCCACTGACCAGCCAAGTCAGAGAGGCAGGGCGGCCAGGAGCTTGAGGGACAGTTGGGACCACACTTGGTGGGTAGGGGGCACAACAGTGCTGGCTGTCATCCACTCCAGCCATCCACCAGCGCCCTCCATTGGGCCTGCACCTGTGAAGCAGTCAGTGGCTACCCTTTTGGGAGGTGAGTGTGTGTGCACGCAGGCATCCATGGAACGCAGGGATCTGATGGCACAGGTAGGCAGGTGTATTGGGGACCAGCCTCCCACTGGGGGTCTGGTGGTCTTCCCTCAGCCTCCCCTTGCTGGCCTGTTCATCTGTTAGCAAACCAGCCCCCAGGAGCACAGTGTATCCCCCACCTCAGCACCTGAACATTGGGATCCCTCCTCCCGCCACCACACGTGGTCAAGGCCGGCCTCCACCCCTCCCCTCACGTGCCCGGCGCTGCAGACGGGTTCCATTAAAGCTCCGGAAGCTCCTTTGCAGGTCCCCCGGAGTCACAGCTGGCGCAGGGGGTGCCGAAGGCAGATGAGGCCATAACCACCCCCTCGCCCCCCGCACGCCCCTCTCCTCCCCTCTCTTTCTCTCTCCTTCTTTCCCTCTCTCTCCAGGGAGCAGAAGCTGAGGACAGGCTTCCTTCTTCAGGCTCTGCCTTCTGCACAGAGGAGCGGCTGCAAGGGAAGGCCCGGGGCTCCCACCCCTCCACCCCTCGGGCCTCCCTCCCGGGCACCTGTTCCCGGCGCTGGCAGGCCAGGGTGCACCCACCCAGGTCCCGGTGATGAAGTCGCCCGCCCTGGGCCCCCTTGGGTCGGCCCCGGAGACCCCGCGCCCCGCCCCACGCGCGCGCTCCCGTGTGTCCTGCACACACCCGGGGCACCTCACTCGCTCCGCCCGCCCCACCCGGCTCTGGGCCCCACACAGCCGGGCTGGGAGCGCAGACAATAGCCACCTCGGGCCGGCGGCTCGGTGCAACAAAAGCGGGTCCTCGGAGAAGGCCAGCGCCCCGCCTCCCCCACCCCGCGCCACTGACCACCACCACCCCTCCCCATCCCTGGGCGCGCCCCCTCCCCAGCACTCGGGACCAAGTTCCCTCCAACCTGTCTGAGTTCGGCCGGCATCGGGCCGGGAGGGGGGGATTCGGGGACGGCGGACTGGGCCGGGGGGCGACTGCTGGACCGGGCTCGGCTCCGGCGCCTCGGCCACTAGGGCTCGGGCTCGGCGGACTCGCTCCCCGAGGGGGGCGGGTCTGGCGGCGGCCACGGCCAGCAGCCAATCGGGCGGGGCCGCGCCCAGGCGGGGCGGGGCGGGGCGCGGCGAGGTCCCGCCCCCTCCACCGCTGCGGGGCGGGGTCGGGGCCGGGGTCGCCTCCTCGTCCCTGGCAACTGGAGGAGCAAACGATCCCCTCCCTGGGGTGGAGGTGACGTTTTCCCGCCCAGTAGTCGTCCCCGGGTCTCGGTTCGTCCCATGAAGACATGCACACACTTGCCCCTCTGCCTGCGGAGTCCAGGAAACTGAGGCCTACCCTGCAGGACGTGGGACGAGGGCATTTTTATGGGCACAGGGCCCTGTCCTGGTTGCAACTCAGCTTTCCCTTGCTGTGAGCTGAGGACCCATCTGCTTCGCTCAACAAGACCTCTCTCATCTGGTCTCCACCTTTTGAGGAGGTGGCTGGGGCGGTGGTGAGGGGCTGAGACAAACAGGGCTGTTATCAGCTCAGGGAGGCTGACAGAGGATGGATCCCGCCAGAGCAAGAGAAGGGGCAGCGCTTCCTTCCTCCTACCTGCTTCTCCCCAGACCGCCTCTCCCACAGCAGCTTCCTTGGGAACCACCAAGAAAGTGGGGAGAGATGACAGAGGCCCATGGTGGGCACCAGGTCATCTCTCCCACCTGACCCTTCCACTCTGGGGTGGAGCAGGCCAGTGAGCCGGAGGGAAGTGGATGCAGAAGGCAAGGTGGCTGTGCTGAAGCTGGTCCGAGCATTGCACCCACACAGGGAGATGCCAGGTCAGGCCCAAACTAGCTGACTGCTGAGAGGGTGAGAGGACCCTGGCAGGCAGGCAGATAGGGCTGGGCTGAGGTTCCCTGAGCTGCTCAGTTCCCCCCACTCCCACCCCATCCCCGCCCCGCCCCAGGGTAGTTCTGACCCTGGGTGGCCCAGCAGGAGGGCGCCAGGCTTCCTGGTGCAGATGCATTGTCCAGTCAGCTTCATATATTCCTGGGAACACACGTGCTCTCCCAGGCCAGTCTTGGAGGGGCAGCTCAGGGCTGTGGGAATTTTTCTCTTTCCGCCGGGGTGCTGACCTCGCACACTGCCCACCCCCAGGGCTGCAGAACAGAGCCTGTTTCAGGCCTGGAGGCCTGGAGGCCTGGACTATGTGCCTGGCGCCTGACAGGCGGCCTTCAGAGGGTCACTGTCCGCCGGGCGGCCCCGCCAGGCTGTTCCACTTCCCTCCTTGAGTGGGAACCAGTTTCACCCTCTGAAGGACAGAGTCTGGGGAAGCTGTAGGGGTGGCCCTCATCCCCAGACTCAGCCACCTGCCTGCCTGAGACCCCTCACCATTAAAGGTTTGGAAGGAGGGTTCCCCCTATGGCCCTGGGGGTGCTAACTTAGCTCTAACCAGGTCCCTGTGCTGGGCCACCTGCTTTCTGTGTGTCTTCAATGCACAGGCCATCACCCGCCTGGTGGCTGCCAAAGACAATCAAGATGCTGGGAAGGTGCGGTCTCAGGCCCTCCAGCCTGAGGCGTGCCAGCCCTCAGGATCAGCAAGCTGGCTCCACTGTTGTCCAGCAGCCACCTGCACACAGGGCAGGGGCATGGCCAGGGCTGGCTGCCTGGGGGAGTGGGAAGCTAGGTAGGGTTGTGGAGGACAGCCAGGCTGTAGGAACCGGGCAGACCTGTCAGGGTCAATCTGTGAGCTCCATGGGACATGCAGGCAACGCTTCCCTTTTGCCACCTTTAAGCTGACTGGGAGGAAGGGGAGCGGGGAGGAGGGGTGGCTATACAGGGAACAACAGGGCTCTCTCCTTGCATGGCTGCTGCAACAGCTCTGCTACCGCCCTCCCGCCTTTGCTGCATTTAGTCAGCCCCCATGCCCCTCGCTCAGCCAGGGGCGAGCTGCTGTAACCTCCATCTGCAGGTTAGAGCCTCTGATCTGACCACTGAGCATACACCCAACAGTTAGGTGTTCTCAGGGCCTGGCTATGAAGCACAGGGCTGGACAGGGGCCTGGGACCAGGCTGAGGGCCACGCCCATCAGGGAAACTGAGGCTCCTCCATGCAGAGATGGAGCTTGCCCAAGCTCCCCTTGGCCTGTGTGATGACGATGGAGATCAGCGTGGCTCAGAGACTTGGGGGTGGGCCAAGCCCTCTAGGTGTTCACACTGATCAAGGATCTGCCCAGTACTGGCTTAGGGTCTGCTGGGAGCCCCCCCAATTCCTTTTCTCCCTTTTCCAGAGCCCACTAAGGCTGTTACCTGCAGAACCAGCTGTTGCCAAGCCATCGGCAGGGGCTGCCCGCTGCCCATACCACCGCCAGTGCCCACACCAGGCTGCTGCGCCCGCTCCAGCTGCAGGGCCACATGGCGCCGCTCCTGCTCCAGCGCCCGCGTCAGCCGCTCAAAGCGGGCCTCTTGCTCCTTCACCGAGGCCAGAATGCTGGCGGCCGAGGGCATACTGCAATCCTCCATGACCAGGCTGCCGGAGGCTGTGGGCGGAAGCAGAGCAGAGCACGCTCAGGGCGGGGTGGGCGGCGGCCTTGCCAGGCCCCCTGCCTACCCCACTGCGCGCATGCACGCGCACACACACCCATGCAACTCACTCCCCAACCACAGCAACCAGGCCCCTTCCCTGGAGGGAAGCCGCATTGATTACATCCTAAATTAAAAGCCATTAATCCGAGGCTGGCCGGAAGCAGGGCGTGGGGGCTCCAACTCAGGCTCCTCTGCTTCCTGCCAGGCCCAGTGAACGATGGAACTGTGACGCATGAGCAGTGAGTGCTTACCCCCTCTCAGGCTCTGTCCCACCACAGTGTTGGGGGCTACGCCAGTGCCCCAGCTCACAAAGGCACAGGCCATGACCCAAAGAGGACTGGGGAATGGCTTGTAACTGGGAAATAGCGCACAGGGAGTGACCATGGCCTTGAAGCTCCTGCAGCACTGGTGAGAAGGACAGGACCTGCCTCACAGGGCTGAGGACTTGGTTCAAACTTGTGCACAGCTCTCATTAGGCCCCACATGATCTCCAGGGTCTCTGCGTGCAGCAGGAGCCCATGCACACCAACCCTAGTCCCAGAAGAGAAGCACAAAGGGCCCAAGCACCCCAGCCAGGCACTTTGGGATGGCCAGGCCTACCTGGGTCCTAGCCCTGCCCTGGGCTGCCCTGGCCCCAATGCTGGAACCCAGGGGAGTGTGGAGGTGGCGGGGGCTGACCTGCTGCAGGTGAGCGAGCACTGCTGCTCACTGCTTGTGGCCTGTGGATCTGCATGTTTGTTTTCCAGGGGCGACAAAAAGTAAGACAAAGGCACGGAACTCATATCTGGCTCATGGCTGCTGGCAGGGTGTGGGCTGTGCAGCCATACTGCTGAAGCCTGAAGTGTGCGTGTGTGTGTGTGTGTGTGTGGCCACACTGTTACAGCCTGGGGTATGTGTATGTGTTTGACACGGTTAGAGCCTGGTGTGTGTGTGTGTGCATATGTATGTGTGTGGCCACACTGTTAGAGTCTGGGGTGTGTGTATTTCCCATGCCAACCCTGCACTAACAAAGGGGCTTGAACTTCAAGAGAAGAGGTCTCCTGTACATATACACACACAAAGTGTTGGGGACACCCTGGAGGGCCAGTGAGCTGCAGAGCTAGAGCAACCCCTCTCTACGCCACACATTCAGGAAGGGCCAAGGACACAGGACACCCCAGAGATGAAGGGAGGCACACCATGCTGCCCAGCCCCACTGTGACATCTGGGGAAACTGAGGCTCACTAAGGGCAAATGGCCGACACAGGCCTGTGGCTGCTCCTCCTCCTCCTCCTCTCTGTACCTGTTATACCAAGAAAATGATCACTATGACTCTGCATGGACAGTGCTGGGAGCAGAGGAGCTGCTGTTAGCCAAAACTAGTTGGGAAAGGTGGCAGCCACCACCTAAGGGGACAAGCTGGGGGGCAAGAGGCAGCCTGGGGCCTCCTGCCACCTAGGCCCACAAGGACAACCAGCATAGAACGGCCCCAGCCTGGGACACATAGCTGCTCGGCCCAGCCTGGTATGGACACCGGGTCTTGTGTATGTCTGGCTGTGGATCCCAGGTGGCCATGGGCATGGTGGGGGTACCCTTCCTAGGAGTGCCCTCTGAGCCCTCAGCTGAGTGTCATAGCAGCACAAGCCATCTCAGCTGAGCTGCAGGACCAGGGAGCAGGAGGCCATGGGATCAGGAACCCCAGGCAGGTGCTGGGTTGCTGGGCAAGGGATTGACTTCCTTCTCTCCTTGTACCCTGCCTGAGTCTGCCCAGCCTGAGCTTGCAAAGCACCTGCCCGTGCCTCTATCCAGGAGCCCAAGTTCTTAGGGACAGCTTCCCTACACTGGGCCTCTTTCTCCTGAGGTCCAATGAGGCTCCCTAGTCCTCACTGAAGGGGGCCTGCTGGCTCTGGCTGAGGGCCCAGAATTCCAAGGCCATGGCTGGGGTATGAGAAGACAGTCAGACACAGTGGTCTTCCCCACTGCTCGATTTGGCTCACTTGGAGGGAGATGACTGTGTGTCTCCTGGGAGACACTGTCCAATGCCAGCCAGCTCGGGAGAGGGGGAGGGTCCAAGCAGCATGCAGCGGGACCACAGAGGCCTGGGGGCTGGGAGTCAGCACCTGCAGGTCATGGATGGGGGGTGGGCAGTGCTGGCTGGGGGCATCCAGGCAAAGCAGGAGGCCCAGGTGCCTGGGCAGGCAGGCTGGCACACACACTCACTGGAGGTCCAGGCCAGCACTGGAGGCCTGTTTCTTCTCCATTGATAACCCCAGACATGATTTTTTATATTGGAACAATAAATACAGCAGTGTTGCAGAAAGCAAAAGGTGTAGCCAGGTTTAAGGCTTTCTGTAGGAGGGGCGTGGCATGCTGGGTCAGGACTGAGGAGATGCAGGGAAGTGTGAGGCTCTGGGTCTCCACTGACCCTGGTTCACCTCTCTGGAAGGCCCCACTCCCTGCCAGGCTGATCTCAGGTGACTCCACTAAGATCCCATCAACCAGCTTGCCCATACCTGCAAGTGTGCTTGTCATCTCCTTGCAATGAGACTAGAAGGATATTGGATACCCCCAGGGAGTGACCACACCTTGGAAAACAGCAGGTGACCTGGGAGAGGTCAGGGTGGAGGTAACATCTTGGAAGGAAAAAATGAACTATGAAAAAAAAAAAAGCAATAGCGCAGAGCCAGCAACAGTGGCCCTGGCCACACACCCACTGTGGGGCCAGAGGCTTTGGCTAACGCTATTGGACAGCAGAGGCAAGAAGAAGCAAGCTGCCTGATGCCACTTGGGTGGGGACATGGTAGAGGGGGTAGACAGGCAGATGCGGAGATGGCCAGGGGATGGGAGGAGTGGCAGGGAGGGGAGGGACTGGCGGATACACGGCTGGCTGACTGGGTGGAAGGAGGAGGGAGAACCGGAGGCTGAGTGAGGAGGGATAAATGAGTGGGCAGACTCCCCCACCCTTGGCCCAGCAACGTCATCAGAAGCAGCATGGCCTCCCCCTGACTGCTCTTGGGCAAATGGCATGTGGTCAAGGCTCATTCGCTTATGGGAGAGCTGGAGGCCTCGGCCAGAGGAACCCACGGCTGGGAGCCGGGTCCTCCCCCAAAACCCAAACTCGACATCTTCTTGCTGACCTGGACATTCCTCCACAGGAGGCGGCCAGCCAAAGCCTTGCTCCGGAAAATCAAATTATGGGGCGCGAGTCCAATCTGGGTTGAGGAATCAGAGGAATTTCCTAGGGGTCAGGCAAGCAGAGGAGACGCAGGCAGTGGGTGGTGTTGAGGGGGGGAGCCATGAGTGTCCCCATCAGCAAGAACCAACCCCACAACTAGCCCCGGAGGAGCTGGTGCCAGGAGTTCCAAAGCCATTCTCTGCTTGGGAAGACACACTTACTCCTTACATCACTGGCCAGCCCCAGCGGGGGCCCAAGCTTCAGGGCACTGTGCCCAGGCCCAGGACAGAACAGTAGGGAGCCCCAGGGTGCGGCATTCACACGGGGCGGGGTCCATATTCAATCAGTGCCAAAGGCAAAGACCACAGGGCCCCCCGGACAGGACTGGCCAGAGAATGCTTAGGCTGGGACGGGGGAAGGGTTGGCTGTTCTGAGTCTCTCAGAAGAGGAAGGCACTGTCATGCAAAACTGATGTTCCATAACCTTGTAGGAAGAGAACTTGCCTCAATGGGCATGGTTTACACCGGACCCAGTGGCATGGTGTAACAGGTTAACCTGCTGCCTACAACACCAGAATCTCATATGGGTACTGACTTGAGTCCCGGCTGCTCCACTTCCAGCTCCCTGCTGATGCACCTGAGAAAGCAGTGGAGGATGGCCCAACTGCTTGGGCCTCTGTACCCACATGGGAGACACGAAAGAGGCTGGATCCTGGCTTCAGACTGGCCCACCCCAGCCCTAATAGCCTTTTTGGGGACTGAACCAGTGGATGGAAGCTCGCTCTCTTTCTCAACCAGCCTTTCAAATAAATAAATACATCTCTCTCTCTCTTTAAGATTTATTTATTTTTATTGGAAAGACAGATACACAGAAAGAAGGAGAGACAAAGAGAAAGATCTTCCAGCCACTGGTTTACTCCCCACGTGGCAGCAATGACCAGAGTTGAGTAGATCTGAAGCCAGGAGCCTGGAGCCTCCTCCGGGTCTCCCACACAGGTGCAGGGTCCCAAGGCTTTGGGCCACCCTTGGCTGCTTTCCCAAGCCACAAGCAGGGAGCTGGAAAGAAGGAAGTGAAGCACCTAGGACCAGAACCAGTGCCCATATGGGATCTGAGTGTATGCAAGGCGAGGACTTTAGTCACTAAGCTACCACTCTGGGCACAATAAACACAACTTAAAGCACATGCGCACACACACGCACACAAAATGGCTAACTCCTACATTAGAGTACCTAGGTTCCAGACACAGATTGAGCTCTTGAATCTAGCTTACTGCCAGCGCCAGCCCTGGGAAGCAGCAAGTGACAGCTCCATTAACTGCATCCCTGCCACCCACGAGGGAGACCAGGATGGAGCTCCTGCTTCTGCTTGGCCCAGCCCCGGCCACTGTGGTCATCTGAGGAATAAACCAGCAAGGGAGAAAACACTTCTCTCCCTCCCTCCCTCCCTCTCTCTTTCAAATCGAACAAGGAGTATACAGAGGCTGCCCTGGATGCATATGGCGCAGGAGCTGCCTGTGTCCTGTTCCCTAGCAGGACCAGCTGCCGGCACTGGAACAGGAGGGGCCACTACCCACCCCAGGGGGCAGGCAAGCAGGCAGGCAAGGAGGCCAGGGTCCCAGGGCCGTGCCTGCCTGCTGCCTAGGGAACAGTGGGAAAATCAGACAGCCAGAGCCCTAATCGGATTCAGCCTGGAAATGAGATTTTCCTGGCAGAGGAGGTGCACCATGCCAGACCAGACGATGGTGTGTGTATGTGTGTGTGTGCGCGCGTGTGCATGGAGATGG